TCATCGCAATCAGTGTGAGCAAAGAATAAACGTAATTACACGAAAATGAATTGATAATAAATCCAATTACGTAATAAGGTATTTAATTAATTCATACCCTGACGGACATGCGGCTTTTCTCTATTGTTTTCACGTGTCAGCATGCACACACATGCCTGTTCAGTCATGTATGTAGCATTACACACGGACAGAACTATACACACACGCACACACACACACACGCGCGCGCGCATGCATAAATCTATACTTGTATGCGCATATATATATATGTACAGATGTATATAAATATAGAAGAGATATTATTTGTGTTTCTGTACTTGTAAGTCATTCTATTTTGATTGTTGAATACTTAGTTTTAGACGGCAACACACGCTCTCAGACTTACCCCTATAAGCAGGCTTTATATTCACTATAGAGAACTTGTCATTTATCAATATATTATAGTTGCGAAGAAACGTGCTTATTCTCAGTGTTTATCCAAGGACTTTAATTTAAACAGCCATATTTTATATTAAAAACAAAAAACAAAATCATATCTAACAAAAGAATTAAATTTAATTATATTAAAAATAACGTTTAAAATAATTTTATAAATAATTATTACTTCCATTGTTTCATTTCTGTTGTTCATTATTATTCATTTCTTCTTCTTCTTCTTCTTCTTCTTCTTCTTCTTCTTCTTCTTCTTCTTCTTCTCCTCCTCCTCCTCCTAGTTCTTCTTTCTTCTTTCTTCTTCTTCTTCTTCTTTCTTCTTTCTTCTTCTTCTTCTTCTTCTTCTTCTTCTTCTTCTTCTTCTTCTTCTTCTTCTTCTTCTTCTCCTCCTAGTTCTTCTTCTTCTTCTTCTTCTTCTTCTTCTTCTTCTTCTTCTTCTTCTTCTTCTTCTCCTCCTAGTTCTTCTTCTTCTTCTTTCTTCTTTCTTCTTCTTCTTCTTCTTCTTCTTCTTCTCCTCCTAGTTCTTCCTCTTCTTCTTTCTTCTTTCTTCTTCTTCTTCTTCTTCTTCTTCTTCTTCTTCTCCTCCTAGTTCTTCTTCTTTCTTCTTTCTTCTTTCTTCTTCTTCTTCTTCTCCTCCTAGTTCTTCTTTCTTCTTCTTCTTCTTTCTTCTTTTTTCTTCTTCTTCTTTTTCTTCTTCTTCTTTTTCTTCTTCTTCTTCTTTTAATTATCACTTTCTCCTCATTCTAATTAATTTTCTTCTTCATGCCTTTATCTTCTTTTCCTTCTTCTCCTTCTTTCATAAACTCTTTCAGTTTATTATTACTAATATTATTACTATTATTATTATTAATATTATTATTATTATTACTAATGATAATAATTATATTAATTATTATTATTTATAGACTTGCATGTTTCCATGGGGATCATAGCTTAGAACTGAGCAACAGGTTCTCTCAAATTTCCAGCACTTCTCTCAGTATCCTCACCGACGCTAGCAGCTCTTCCTCGGATTGATTCCACTGAAGATATACAAGAAAATTATCGATCATTAGAACAGTGACTGAGTAAGTATATTAATTGATACGTCAGCATAAAAAACAACAACAATAATAAGGATAATAGCAAAAAATCATATCTCAGGGTATCTCTCACATCTTACCTAGATTTCTCCGCATGCAGTGACCCCACAATTGCAAATTGTTCGCCCCCCTCCATGTTGCATGGTACCCCACCATCTCTTTGCATTTTCTCATATAAAACTTGTAATATATATATATATATATATATATATATATATATATATATATATATATATATATATATAAAATAGATAGATAGATATAGACCGATATATGTATATATATATATATATATATATATATATATATTTTATTCTGTTCATATCCATCTATCTCACTCTCATTCTCTCTCTCCTGAAGTCTCTCTCTCCCTATATATATATATATATATATATATATATATATATATATATATATATATATCGTCGACTTTTAATTTTTTTTCTATCTATCTATCTATCTATCTATCTATCTATCTATCTATCTATCTCTCTCTCTCTCTCTCTCTCTATATATATATATATATATATATATATATATATAAGATAATGATACATTTGATGGTAGTCAATATTTCTGCCAAATATCAAGGATAGAGCCTGTGTAAATATAAAAATAGGCACTGAGGTCAACACCGAGTAGCGACAGTCTGTTTCTTTATTAAATTCAATCTCCGCTTGAGACTTGTTGATAACGTGTACCTCATAAAAAATCGCCAAAAACACACACGCAACAACAAGAACGACAACAACAACAACAACAACAATAATAATAATCTTTTGTTTTTGTTGTTTTAGTGGTGGTGGTAGTGATGATGATCATCATCATCAGAATGATAATGATGTTATTATCTAGTAGTTAAAAACTACAATAAAAGCAGGTCGGATGGACGTATTGAAATTGATTATTCCTATTAAGTTAATGTGCAAACTCCTATAATAATAATAATAATAATAATAATAATAAAGTACAGCCCACACTTTACGAAGAGCTTTATCTATGTAATTTCTTTTTTTTTTTTTTTGTCAGTGGAAAGTATCATGATGCCATTTCTAACCTTATGTCCCTGGGCGGGACACGGAAAGAAATCTGTAAATGCCAGAAATCAAAGGAAATAATAATAATAATAATAATAATAATAACGACAACAACAGCAATAATAATAATAGGTAGCGACAATAACATTACTGAGTTCCTTGTCAGTCTCTGCATGAGAAAAAAAAATGCTCTCTATGAAAAAAAAAAAAAAAAAAGATCTCTGTGACAAAGCTTATCTCCCCAATAGAGTATTATCAAATAATTTCTGAGCATAAAAATTTCTCTGGTTAAAAAAAAGTATAGCTACACTATGCATGGTTTGAGGACCAAATACTTATTAAAGAACACTGAAGAAATCATGATGCTATCAAATTACGTGTTTGAATATAAGTTGTTATAAGTTCAGAAATACTTACTGTCTTAGTACAGAAAATGAGCAAATCGATGAGTGGAGGAGTAGGAAGAAAAGGGGAGAAGGTAAGCTATAGATTTACTTACGTGCATCAAAACTGAATTGCAGTGATTTTTCTCGCCACCTACAGAATTTGTTGTAACATGGAATAAATAAGGATGAAGCGAAAGTTATAAAGACACTGAACATCTATAAATATAGACAGGGTGTAAAAAAAAAAGCCATTGCATGATAACTGTCATTAACGCCCATATCTATCTATTATATATATATATATATATATATGTCCAAGTCTGTTCATTATCTATCGATCTATCTATCTATCTATCTATCTATCTATATATATATATATATATATATATATATATATATATACTATATGTATACATATAGATATGGATATATTTATATGTGCGTGCATATATATATCTGGTTGTTTACAGGCGCAAACACATACACATAGGCACACACACACACACACACACACACATATATATATATACAGACTGAAAGATAGATATTTTATATTTATGTTTACGTGTATATATATATATATATATATATGTGTGTGTGTGTGTGTGTGTGTGTGTGTGTGTGTGTATATCTATTATATTTATACTTGTATATATATTTATGTATATGTTTTTTTACACAGACACAGAAACACAGACACAGACATATATTAAAATATATATATATATATATATATATATATTTTTTTAATATATATATATATATATATATATATATATATATATATATATATATGCAAACAAATTTTGAGAAAATATAACCGACAATGTCCCTCCGTACTTCACTCGATGTTGTGGATAAACTATCCGAGTTTCATATTTTGTTATTTTTATCAAGAACCAATGTTGTGTCTGTGTGGTAATCAGAATGATTTCGGACGCCATTTTCTAAAACTTCGAGCACAAATACTGAACACCTTATTTGCAAATTGTTAAAATACTATAAATATTATGCTCACAGATATTGTTGGTACTTTTTTATGAACTGTGACAGTCTCTTGGCTCGAGCAGTATATAAGAAACGAGAGCAAACGAAGGTTTCTCCTATAAAGGGGGACGTAGATCCGAACAGTTTCTTAAGTTCTCTTCACTCCTTATGGCATTAATCGTAATACACACTCTTTATTATAAAGAACGTAGCTGCGTTCTTTATCAAACAGGGTTTTCCACTAAAATAACTTTCCAAGTAATAAAATATATATATATATATATATATATATATATATATATATATATTTTATATATATATATGTATGTATATGCGTGTGTACGTATGTTAGAATGCATATAGTAACACTTGACCAACATTTGCTTAACAACTTCAGCGTATGTTTTTCGTTACCAAATATATATATATATATATATATATATATATATATAAAGTGAACATAAAGTCAACATAGTCAGGCGACAGTCTGTTTTCATGCTAGATGCAATCGTCTGGCCACTGACGATGATTAATGTTCTACTTTATATTTACAGATGCTCTAACTCTGATATTCAGCACTTTATCCGATAAATATAGCACATCTTAAGACTATATTTCTTCTTGGAACACAATTAAAATCGATTTTAATTATAAATAAATTAACGTGTAAAAATACGAAGTTCCAAAAAGAATATAGGATGGAAAAATGTCACTCCTTATCAGTCGATGAAATGTAAGGAAAGAATAAAATGATCATTTTGTTTACATAGGCTCGGCTCAAGATCTATACTATTTGTGGTCGCAATGGCCTGGCTTACAACCAATATATTTCCTATCAAAGTCGGATACACAAATTTCATTCCTAACACGACATCGGCATACCTGAGTAAACTTCTCACCAACATAGAACATGAAAGCTATCAAGACTTTCCAAGCTTGTATAGAATCTCTATTTACATGGTTCGATCATTTTCACATTCTTACTGTGAGAACCATTACAGTCTGTCAGTATTGCTACGTACAGCTGGGTTGCCCCTAATTTAGTGTTTAAGCCCTGAATAGGGTTCTCATCTGAT